TAGGAATAGGAGAATGTGATTGATGTAATATATCTTGGGGTAGATGGAAGATTTTTTATGAACCATAAAATTCAATGCCGTTCTCGTTTTTTTTTTTTTATAACAAGTTCGTTTGTTTTTCAGTGATAGCGGAGAATGCGGATTTTAGGGAAATTTTTTTGACTGTGTTGTAAATTTTTCGAAAATTGTGAATTCGTATAATGTAAAAAGTTTATTTTGCTCATAATTTAATTTTCATTTTTACAAGATATAACAGATGTTATAAGCGAATTAATAAAAAAAATAGTGTTAGACTCTTTTCATGTAATACTTTGTATACCAAATACATATTTTGTAGTTTCATGAAGGTATTTCATTTGAATCTGGTTAACATCGCGCCATCTGTAGGGTTAGACAGCAGCGCCATTCTTTCTAATCTAATTCTATCGTCTCCATTTTTGCTGTCAAAATCATTATAACTTCTACGTTTTCTTTAACATAAATATGAATACACGCATTTCTCAGTACAATTACTGTGCTGCTAGTCCGATATATTAATTTTGTTAATGTATTATTTTTAAATTTGGAGTTAAACATTTCGTTATAGGTAATTCGTTTGTATTTTTTTTATCTGTTAATATAACCTGTAGTGTGCTTTAAACAAATTAACATGAAAAATGTTTCAGGTACGTTTCGCATTAATCGGCTGAAGTGCACGCATTATGTAAATTGATACTCGGGCGAAACGTCTACTCTGTAGAAACGACACCGTGCAACGTTTCATAAATTCATCGAGATACCATTCTAATCTCTCTGGTAAGCTATAACCAGCGCCTGCTTTATTTCTCTCGTTCCACATCCGTTTTATTTCTCGTTTTCTTGATTTTCTACGTCGCGTGTAACGCGTCGATATCGGCGGCCTGGTTGTTTCGCGCTGTCGGCCCAGTGATATGCAAATAATACGAGTGGCCACCGCGAAATCCGATTGGCGGTGATGCGCGTGCGATTTTGCGGTCGTCGATAGCCCTCCACATGCGAAGGAAAAGTGGTCGTTTGTCGACGGGGCACAGAATTACCTAGATTCATTGGTACGCCTGACAAATTGATTATTGACCGGACCGCGGAATTTGTTTAAACGTTATTACACTCGCTAACGATCCTCTGTATTCGAAGTTCTGTGTCCCAAATTTCTGTTAAAATCATTTACCGAGTTTCCTTCATAATGTTTGGGTGAAGTAATATATTTTCAACTATCTAATTTATAATGTCATATATCTATTAGCTCAGTTCAAATAATTTGTTCTAATGTAATTCCTTTTTCAGCTATGTATAATGCCGTATGACTGGAAAGTTACAAACACGTTAGTTGTGGTAAGAATATTTTATTGAGAACGTTATTTTTCAGTATATATAATGTTTAGAGCACTGAACAATTTTTTGTTAATGTATAACAAAAATAGCCTTTTATAATTTGCTTTTTTCCATTTCAGATCAAATTAACAGATTTTTACTGGTATTTATCAAACACAGTTACTTATAGGTAGATAGATTCGTTTTTAATTAAATTAATTAAAATTTAATTATAAACGTAGTTCAAAATATAATAGACATATATAAATATTTTTCTTCTCAAATACATATCTTTTTCTTCCACAAAAAATTAAAGCAGAAATAAAATTTCATACAGTCCTTTCATTATCAAGTCTAATTCCATATTGTAGCTAAGTTTTCCAGATCTTCTTCCCAACGAAATTACTTTCATCTCATGACATAGTACATATATACTAAACTCCAATAAGCTATTTAAAGGCAAAGATACATCGTAAGGTAATTAAGGGGAAAAAAGGTTTATCGTCGATAGTTATTGATGCCTCGTTCATCCACCACGATTCGATTAGAATGAAATTACGGTTGCGTCGGGATCGGCCCACACGGCACAAGGATCACTCCCACGCGATCGCAATTCAGCCGGTTCCCTTTTCCTGTTGCGTTGCTCTTTCACAAGGTGTATCGGTAATAGGCCGACCGATTAAAGATCTTTATCGTCTTCACGAAAAACAGGCCAATCGGTGGAAACGCCCCCGTGTCCTGCGAGAAAGCCGAATTCAAATACTTGCACGTGGGTCGAGCACTAATTTTTCTTCCGCTTCTAGTCCAGTGAAACGATTAATCTCGCACTTGTATCTCGTATCGGTGTTAAATGCGCAATAATTAACACTTTCCGTCTTCTATAAAAAATATAAAGAAAATTCTATTTTACATCAGTGATATTTTGCTATGGTATAATATTATCTTACGCAATTTTTATTCCATTTTTCCATTTTCTAGATACTTAGTCGATTGTCAATTTACGTTATCATCTACAACAAATATTTGTAGGTTATATTTATTAGATGTTATTTATTTCATGCAGTGAAATAAATCGTATCGTAATACTTCGTAAATATTATAACATTTGTGCTTCAAATTCTCATGGCTACATAAATTGTATATTGAATACATATACGTGTATCATTGTCATATTACAATGTATTACCGTATATATTGTAATATACACATATTATTAGGAATATCTGATAAAAAATAAGACACATCAACAATACCTACGAAATGAATTTAGTAAAAATTCGTTCAGATATGTAATCCAGTCTTCATCACATACATGATAAAACCTGTTTCTCTAATTAATGAAAGCTTTCATGAAAGCTAGACCTGTCCTATATCGATAACGACTCATAGGTGGCGCTCTCATCACGAAACATATTAAATAGAAAGAAAAGTTTATCGAGTGGCAACTCAAGTGTAGAACGAAATCAATGCTCAAAACAGGGATAGCAATAGTCGAAGAAAGTAGGAGGGATAAAATGGCGGGAAAATGGAGGCGGAAGTGGAAAGCGCGGGAAAGAGATCGTGCGAAAGGCAATACGTTAAAAGTACTATACAGTTTTTTGTCCACCTTTTTCGTGTTCCCACTATTCGAAGTTCAAATTGTGACACCATTTTTTTCTTCCAACAAGCAGTGATTTGTCCCGTTGTTAGCAAGTGTTCATCGTTCGTTCGTACTTTTTCTCTCCCCCGAGACTTTTTGGCATTTGTGTCTCCGTTGTATCCCGTTCGAGAGTTTGTATAGAAGCTCGACTCTTTCGTGGGATTTCGAATAAAAGGAAAAAAGGAAAAAGAAAGAAAGGAAAATGAAAACTAATATTAATAATAGTAGGAGAGCAAAGAAGTTGTTGCGCGCACCGAGGTAAAAATCGGAAAGTTTCCTAACGAGTATCGCCTGGTCGTTAAAAACGGAAAGAAAGAGCAACGCAGCGACTGAGGTGAAATTAAATCTCACTGCGAGAGATAGAGAGAAGCGAGAGAATAGAAGAAACGATTGTTAGAAGTCAAAGGGCCAGGCTAGAACGACGGGTTTTGGAATTGTAGAAGCTATCTCTTTGCCATTGCTTCAAGTAAGTGCGCCATTTTACAAATTTTATTGAGTCTCTTTAATATTTCCCTGACCAAGAAATCTACGATAAAACGTGAATTTTAATAATTGGCATTTTTTCAGACTTTTTACAATTATTTTTTTTTATTCTATTAAGTATTTTATTCTGTACTTATACTGATAAAGTACTTAATATGGATATCACATTTTGCATTGTTATTTATAAAAAATAAATCATATATTTCATACTAACTTTTAATTTCAAAGACAAACAGATCTCTTTGATTAAGAGGTCACTCAGTTAATAGATTAACAATCTGTTCAATACCTCAATTTATAACAAATTAAACCAGGTCGGTACAGTAGGTTCACAGTAAATAGGCTTATTTCGTGATACTATAGATATTTATTATAAATGTAATAACTTTATCAATACATTAAATATATCCTTTGAAGCTGTCAGCTCGCATACGGTTTCGTATAGATTCTTCACTTATATTACCCGATCACGTCATAACTTCCTTTTGTTATGCACAGCGTAAAGATCCGTTCCCCAGAATTTTAAATTTTTACAATATTTCCAGGAAACACAGAGAAACATCGTGTTCATTCGTTTGATTCATCGATAATGCAATTAATTCGCATGTGTACGATGGAAGCATGAAAAAAGGAGAAGAGGATGGTTAGAGTGGGGAGAAGGGAAAAAAGGGGAACTTGGCAAGGGAATTCGCTTTAGACGCGAGCGTTACGAGGCGAACGATCACGGCCGTATAAACGTGATTACGGTTTTAGCCGGGAAAAGAGGTTGCTCGTCTGTTTGCCGAAAGGAATTTATTCCGCGTTACGGTTTTAATGTTCACTTTGCATGGAATTAAACGGTTAATGGAATTTTCGGAAATTCCTCCTTCGCCAGGGATAAATTGCGCGGGTATACGCGACCGCGCTACTCGTTTTCCAACCATTCATCGAATCAACGGGTATTATGTCGTTTAAGCAATTTCCTTCATATTTCGAATATCTGTATGACTAGGAAATAACGTTAAAACTCGACTACGAGTTTTATCAACAGCATTTTTTATTTTGAATCGCTTTTGGCATTGTCAACAATATGACCTTTTCGCAAGAAAATGAAAAATCTAGTTGATTCGATGGAGGATTTTATATCTAATATTTAAAGTATCATTACACTTCGTTTGTTGTCCATTTGTATAATATAATATGTGAGAGAGTGTTGGTTGATTTAGAATTTGTCAGATGTGAAATTTAGGTTCATTCACATGTATCACTTATAGAGATTGGTAATAAGTTGTTACTATTGATATTTTTTTGGTAATAGTTACAAATTCTCATCTTCGGTGTAGAAAATTTCTTTAATAAAATCATTTCATCAAAGTGATAATACATCACTTTTTTGCCCCTGTGAAAAAAAAAATTTTTTAATCCAAAGATTTCTATAATACGTTGAATGCTTGTACCGCTATGAAAATTAAAATACCTTCATTTCCACATTCCACATTTCCAATGAGCTTCGCCATAAAATCCATTAACATTTCCAAAACAGGTATATTCAAATAATCCTTCAATTTCTTCCTTCATGAAAATAGAAACTGAAACTCTGTCTCTTTCATCTGCAAGAAAACTTACTGTTAAATACTTCAGACATATTCTTACCAAAGCGCCATAGTGGCCATAGTGATCAAAGGCTTAAGTATCCCAACGAGTAAGCAGACCAGAGTTATTACGAATTTAAATTTTCCGGTGAAACGAAATGTCTCGGAGTGACAATGACAAGTATTTGCATCAAAGAGAAAATATCGTGCGAAGTTATCGTGTACGTGAAAACATAGCAAAGAGTTATTACAGGGGAGAAAGGGGATGCACGACATTATTAGCACACGGTCACGTTAACGGCGGGAAACCGTACGCCAGAGTACAAAGGTTATTCTGTTAGGTAGGGCGGAATTTATTAGATAATTAGCGACCCAAGGCTTATTTTACTTTTTACCAGAAGCCACGCCGTCACTTTCGAACGTTCCCTGTGTTATTCAGTTGTACTTCGGTATGTGAGAGAGATTTTGAGAAGAAAGGACAGAAGAGATAGAGAGAGTGCAAGGCAGGCTGGTTTCGGGAAATATTTCAAGAATCAGGGAAAACTAATTTTAGAAAGAGGGTGATTTAAAAGAAATTTAATGAAATCGGAGCGAAGGTGTAAAATGGTTCTTTGGTATTCCATGGTTCTTCATCGTATCAAGTAAAACTGCCTAATCTAATTGCTCAGTAATTGACTCGATTGTCTAAAGAATACGTCTATCCTCTGATAAAAGAATTACTTGAAAAAGGAAGAATTTATAATAAATTTGCTTTACCATAATATTCATATGCTTCTGAAAATGTAATTTAATTTCCAGCTCTCCTTAATGTACAATGTCGATCGAAGGATATTCGGGGTTAACGAAACGTTAATCGACAGGCTTTTAATAAAAGGACAGATCCAAAGGAGGTACTCCCTTGGATTTACGACGGAAGGATACTCGAGATCGATTTAAATGCGCCGGCAATTTTTATCGGCGCCCGCCTCGACTTTTCGTGCCGTGTACAGCGAAAAAGTATTAAAACGTTAGCAATTGAACGCGACGATAAATCGAGGTCGTTGCAGCCGCAGGAAGAAGAGGAACAGCGGCAGGGAGGGAGGAGAGAGAGAGAGAGAGAGAGATACAGAGAGAGAGAGAGAGAGAGAGAGAGAGAGAGGGGTGGAAGGGTGCGCTAGAGTAGGATAGGGTGCGAGTCATTCGATCAATTAAATTCGGCTGACTAATTCAATGCGATCAAGCTTTTAACTCGTCGATTAAACCAACCTTGCCGTTTTTTTTCCTCTACCACGTCCCACGGTGCTTGCTCGTTGACGTGCGGGCACAATGGAATCCACTCTAGCCCGGAGATTAGATTTCTGCATCTGACAATGGGATCATCCTCGTAATTTCTGAAAATTCAGCCACCGAACTAGTATGCAGTTAGAAAAAAAGGTATGATGCAAATAGTATTGCATAACAGGAAGTTAGTGAAGTGAACTATGTCTCAAGTAATATATATTCGCAGGAACAATATATATTCATTCAGACAATTATATTATGTAGAAAATAATAATACTAGTAAGTAAAGTACCTTCTCAAATGTACGAGAATATCCAATATGGAGGTATAGTCTAGAATCCAGAATTTGGAATTCGATTCTAATAAAAAGTGGAAATAAAGTCCTTTGTAGCTTGTTCAAGATGTAAAATGGTTCTAGTATGATTGTGATATGGATTTATTTTCCTTCAGCTTTTTCGTTAAGTTCCAAGTTTTTAATTGTGGATATATGTGGACCTAGAACATAATAATCCTCAGAAAATAAAAATTTAGAACTATTCATATATTAAGTCATGAAAGCACAAATTTTTAATCAATAGAATTGAGTAAATTTATTAGATAGAACGATAGTCCAGTAAATAATGTTTATTATGAAATACTTGCTTGCATCATTGTAGACAAAATTAATTTCTTCAGTCACTGTTGCCTTTGTGCATGATATAACGTCGTTTAAGTTACTGACTGAAAGATACGATATGTTGTTTAATATATGAACAGAGAAAATATGATAAACAAGGATTATCAGATAGTTTGATTGAATGCGGTGGTTCGTTTTAAATATTATTCAATAGCCTTCGGATGGATTAATGCTCACCGACGTTCATGGTCTAATCACGTTTCGGCGTACTGAATAACCTTTGTATACACGCTGATGGTATTATAATTGAATCGCTGGCATAAATCGAGCTTGGAGATGAAAAGCAATAATTTCGAGGCAGAATTTATGACACATATATAAATCTCAAGAAAGCTTCTTTTTAAAATTAGATTCTTTAAAAAAGGTTGAAAAATCATGAATATTACGCCCAAGGTTGAATCATGGACCTAAAAAAAAAGAAAAAGAAACGATGAGCTCAAAATTGTTAATAATTTTACCTAAAGCTGAAGCTAAAGGTAAACCTTTTCTATTAATATTTTAAAATATTTAGTTACTTACTATTTTGAAGCATATTATGCTTGTAACAACACCTTCAAAAGCTCCATTAGCAATAAATAACTGAAAAGGTAAATAAAGAAATAAAAAAGAAGAAAATAAGAAGAAAGGTAAAGAAAATAGTCGTCCGTTGAAAAGACGTCTTTATCAAAACAGTCAACTCATCAAAAAGCTGCTGTGACTACAGACGATAACACCGCCAAGCAATCCTTCCGCACCACTGTTATTTCATTTCGCAGTTCCGATCGACGAAGGCAACAGATCAATCAGTTAGTTTATCGGAAGATCGATGAAGACAGGGGCAAACGGTGTCAGGATGGCTCGTAATTCTTTCGTTGGCGTCTGTCGAAGTGGCCAAAATTGAACGGGTGCTGATCCTGTTACAAAAAAGAGGGGGTTAGTGGGTACCGACCGAATGATAGGCGTGGAAGGGGTGGTCTCGACATGGGATCGTACATTAATTGAATCGGTAATTTGTACAGCGTGCGATCCTGCTTCTTAATTATCCCCGTCTCATCGGATGATGAAGGGGTTTGGCGTTATGATCGTTCGTGGACCGTCGATCAGTTACCGAGCATCCGAATTCGGTAATTGCTGCCTCTGACACGGTTATCTTGCTTCTTGTTGCTCGTTAACTATCATCGGAGACGGATATTAATTACTTTATCCATGATCAACGATCGATCGGCTTTACGATGTCCATAAGTTACGTTGTGATTAAGAGATTTTGAGGTTAGGTGTGCTTTTTAACGCGTTTAATGTTTGACGTGGTGCAACCATGTCAACAGTATTTAATTTTGCGAAAAGATTTGATGAAGGCTTACGTTGCAAAAATTTTAGATTACACTTTGGATTATTATCAGTTCTAATGCCGATATTTTTCACGTGTGCGTATCAATATTGTTTATAGGTTATTCCAATTGTATTGGCTATTCCAAGTCACGTACTCATTCGTGTTTCAATAATGGCTGTTAGTATTACGTTACAGACTTTTAACTCCATGTTTCATAATTTGTTTCATGTGTAGTATGAGACATATTAAATGTACAATCTGAGTAATGACATTTCTATAACGACACGTATATCTTCTTAATCCAGTATTGACTATATTTTGTCAATTTTCATAAATTTTGTTATTTCTTGCATATTTTGTAATACGTTCTTACAGAATAATTGTAGGCGATACTAATACTGTATCATTAGTATAAAGTAAAAGAATCGTTATTTAACGATGTTTAACAAGCAGAGACTGCTTCAATCAGATTTAAATGTTTCTTCTCGTTACCATCGATTAGGAACAGATCTACATCTTCATTCTGACTTGTGATAAGCCGCTTTTTGCCTACCCTAGTTGGAGAAGCAGTTTGCAGAACTTCCTTACAAGTCCAGACTTAACTCGATGCCATTAAAATTGCATTAACAATGATTAATGGTAATTAACGCGTCACGATGATTAATACGCGCTTTAATTCGTGTAAATTAACCGCGCCGACACTGCAATTATTCTTTCAAGACTCTTTATAGTATCATCGCAGACGTCGTATAACATTTGTGTTACATAGTAATTTTTTAATACTAGAAACGATGTTCTTGTTCACTTTCTTCCGAATTTTCACATGATACAAATAAAGTCGCACATACAAAGATTTGAGATAGAAAGGATAATCTCACCTCGTTGCGAATCGATCTCAAAACGATATTGTTGTGTCGTAAATGCGATTCTGAAAAAATGTATAAAATTTCATTTTTCACATTCGAGTCATTAATAATCTACACGTGAGAATAGTAATATGAAATCATAACTTCAATGATGAGATAAAAATCACTGTCCAATCTATAAATCGATATTACTAACCTATAAATAGATCATTGGTTCAACCAATAGCAGTCTCTTTAAATATATTTTTCTGTTCAAGTGGTTGCCACTCAGTATATTCCGGTCACATCGCCACGTTTAAAATATAATATGCGTGAGAAGTTCTTTTTCACAGTTTGTAAAAACACCTCGTGTAAATATACAAAGATCGTCAGAGTCTTACAGGACAGTTACTAATTCGGTAAAGTTTTCTCATTTGTTGGAAATTAATGCCGGACTATTTGTCCGGTTAGACGCGTGGAACGAGTGAAAAGAGTCCGAACGATGCATGAACCAGCAAAAATAAAGTCGGTGCTCCCGCGAATGTAGGTTTTTTTTTCGGCGCGCCACTGTCCGACGACCTCTCGTGCTCGTTTGTTACGCCGACTTCTCGAGTACCGATGTAAAAGGCTTAAAGGTCTTTGCCGCCGGGAATAATAAACTTTGCCGGGCTTCAGGGAATTCGTGCTGGGCCACTGGGCAAAATTAAGTTGAAGAGTTTCTTTGGAATTCTTTGTTCCCTGCGTTCTTTATACTTCTGCTCGCGTTCGATGCAATTAATGAAAGCTGATCCGTATTTGACGTTGACGTCGAATCGATTAATCGACTCGATCAAAAAATGGCGGATTGGTGGGAAAAATGAAGTTAGCGAATTTTGTTCGATCATATTCGAATTTCGAGTTTGATTTTAGTTTCGTTAATAGAGCGATTGAGGTGAAGGGAATAAATAACACGTAGTTAAGAATAGTCAATACAAAATATATTTGTGTAACCATTGTTGTAGATAGTTGACAGTCGAATTCGGTGTTTCCACTTTCAGGTTAATTCGTTTATCCAACGCAGGTATTGCTACGAGCAATTGTCTTTCTTTTTTATCAGTTTACAATTTACATTTGAAAAATTGTAATAATTAATTTACATGAATTGAACCTTAAGTTATGTTTTATACAGAAAAGAAATTTTTCTCATTTGCCAGCAAACTAATTTTCTTCTTTACTAACAGTTTAAAATATCAAAATAGAAGTAAAATATTGCAAAATAATTAGAGTCCCTGTCTAATCATTAATATTCAATTCATGTAACATACATGTACAATTACAAGATACAATCCTTAATTAGTAATCCAGTTACTTGTAATGTAGTACAATAAATACATACATAGTCTCGCATTTTATAATTATACTCTTTTATCAACTTTTTCAATACAATCCTCAATTTATTCTCTTTTATATTCTCATACAAACATTTTTCTTTGCAAACTGTATCTTGAACAAAACTTTCTTTTCCATTCAAAGAGATTAAGGGTTCACGTGTTTTTGAACACATTATATTCGTTAACTCGAATTACTTCTTCTCGCAACATCCGCAACTGAATCACCGCGAATCAACGAAAGGAAAGACACAAAGCACGTCGAAACTTTCATCAGACTGAATCCTTCGTTCGCATCGTTGAAAGTCGATGAAGATGCGTTACGATAGCTTGTTTTATCGCCGCTAACAAGCGCGATTATAACGAGTGGCGGCACGCTTCAATTTTACTGTGGCTACATTTTTGATAGCTGCCGTGTGTGGTTGAAATTCCGTGATACACAAAACTCCGCGAAACTATCACGACGACAACGTCGGAGAGAAACTTTCCTCGATTCCTTCTCCATTTCCTGCCGTCTACTCGGTTCTCAAGCAGCTGCGTGCACCGCGTGCATCTAGAATCTTTGGGGATATAGACGCTCGTGTTTAAGAATGTGTAATGGAACGGGGAATTAAATGGCTCTTCGTGGCCGCGAGAATGGTGGCAGCGGACAAGCGAGACGCGTGAACTTCTGCTCGAAGCAATTTTAAAGGATTTGTTCCAGCGAAGAGACATTGACAAACAAACACTTTTACGGCATTAGCTTTGCGATACGGTTGCTTTACTTACTGTCTACGATTTTATTGTACTTTTACACTTTTGCAAAAGGTTTTTGCAGTATGATTGGTCGATACACTAACGATTCTTGCAAATGGAGGAACTTGTGAACAGACTAATAAACAATTAGAAGTTAGACCTTAAGAAAATGAATAATGAATAGAGTAGCGAATAAGAGGTTTTTACATTACAGATATAAAAATGTTAGAGAACATTATAGAATTACGACAAAATTTCTTACTGGATGAAAATTACAATGGAATACATAATTCAATGCTTTAAACATTTGAAAAATTAAAGAACATTTTTGTTCATCCAGGAGAAATTCTGTCTCTAATAGCTATCATTAATCACAATGATTTATTCGATAATTGATGGATTTCCACTTTGCCTAAACCTCTGTGTTACCGGTATACATACTTTTTAACAACTTCATAAATAAAAAACTCCTCTAAAAAGCTAAGCGAACATTCTGCATATTCAAAACGAACAATTCATCATTCTCAACCCATCGATACTGCAAAAACCATTTAATC